GTCAAGCTATTCTCCAAGGCACCTGAGGGCAGGACAAGAAGCAATGGGTGGAAACTAATCAAGGAGAGAAGCAACTTAGAACTAAGGAGGAATTTATTAATAGAACAATTAATCAGTGGAACAACTTGCCTCCAGAAGTTGTGGATGCTCCAACACTGGAAGTTTTTAAAGAAGATGTTGGATAATCATTTGTCTGAAGCGGTGTAGGGTTTCCTGCCTAAGCAGGAGGTTGGATTAGAAGACCTCCAAGGTCCCTTCCAACTCTGTTAATTTATCTTCTATATTCTCATTCATGTTCAGGAACCAACGTTTGGAATGATGTATTCAAAACATGCCCACCAAACCTGCAACGTTCAGATGATACAGACACAACCAACACCACAAAGTTGCCACAAAGACGAGGGAGTCAAACTATTCTCCAAAGCACCTGAGCAATGGGTGGAAACTAATCAAAGAGAAAAGCAACTTAGAACTGGGGAGAAATTTCCTGACAGTGAGAACAATTAATCCATGGAACAACTTGCCTCCAGAAGTTGTGAAAGCTCCAACACTGGAAGTCTTTAAGAAGAGGTTGGAAAACCATTTGTCTGAAGTGGTGTAGGGTTTCCTGCCTAAGCATGGGGCTGGACTAGAAGACCTCCAAGGTCCCTTCCAACTCTGTCATTCTAAACTTCTAAACACTTCAGTCCATGGCCAGGTGTATGTACCTTCCACTTGGTTGTACAGAATGTTTAAAACGAAGAAGCAATCCAAAGCACGCCGCTTGAGGAAGGACTGGCTGTTTTGCAATCCGAGCCTGCCTGGAATTAATCTCCCTTCCTTCCTCTCCAAAGACCTTTTTGTCCTGATTACTGAACACATCCTGAGGAAGGGGGAAAGGGTGTGCAGCATGATAACAGATAACCAGCGTATTAAAACCCTTAAAAGGCCTAGCTACAAAGAGAGGTTAAGAGGGGGAATTAGAATTCATCAGAAAGGAAGGGAGCCGAGTTGGCCGTGATTGAGATGTCAAAGTGAGCACCCCAGAGACACGTAGATGGCCAAGAAGAAGAGGGGAGAGGCTTGGGCGGAAGAAATAAACATGACCAAAATGGTTGTGGGAACTGGGTATGTCTAGCGAAGAGAAGGATTGGGGCAGTGGTGGGTTTCAAAAATTGTTCGAACCTACTCTGTGGGTGTGGCCTCCTTTGTGGGAGTGGCTTGCCACCCATGTGACC